ACATTCTAGTTCTTTTTAGATGTGAGAAATTATTCATTTTTACTTATTTTTTTCAATAGAATCTTGAATTAAAATTTCTTTTCTTTTTTTTATATTTAACATTGATTATTATGACCTTGTTATAATAAATTGAACAAATAATATTGGTAATGATTATCTAGACTTGGAAAAACTGAGGGATTCTCCTTATACCTATTATGTTTCCAATAAATAAAAAAGAAAACTAGCAGAAGCAAAGATAGAAATTCTAAGTTTTTTTAGTAAAGCATATTATTTACATATACTGAGTAATTTCAATCATAAAAAAGTTTAGAGAGTCAAGAGTAGCTACCTGTGGGGATTTAAAAAAAAAAAATATATATATTTTATTCATTTCAGAGAGAAAAGAAGAGGGAGAGAAATCAATGATGGGAGAAAAATCACTAATTGGCTGCCTCCTACACAGCCCCTACTGGGGAATGGAGCCTACAACCCAGGCATGTGCACTTGACCAGAATCAAACCTGGGACCCTTCAGTCTGCAGGCAACATTCTATCCAGTGAGCCAAACCAGCTAGGGCACCTGTGGGGATTTTTAAAGAAAGAGAAGATGGACAATTGTTATCTCTTCTGAGCCATTTAAACCAAGTGCATGTAATTGATAGCATTAAAAATAAGTAATGTTAAATTATTTTAATAAATAACTCACTCAGGCTGTTCTGCAGAAGACCAAATGTACACGTGGGAAAATCAAGTATACCACTTTGTCGAGCTGAGATAAAGAGGACACATGATAGGAATTGGGAGGTAAGATGAACAGGAGTTGGTCCTCGGTAAGCACATGAGAATATGTTGGGATTCTGAGTATTAGCTTGGCACTCAAAGCTACAGCATGGATCTCGCCAGTTATAGGGAGTCCGGCAGAGTGTTGAGGGTGGGAAGCAAAAGCTGTGTAGTGTAGAGGCCAGGAACTAGTTGGGAACCAGTGGTCATAACTGATGCACTTCTAAGTTTTAAAGTTGACAAGATGACAGTAGTAGTGATGCTCTACATCTGGCTCCTGTGCTTCGTGCTCACGGAGACCAATACCCTCCCCTCGGCATTCACAGCCTACGGGTACCTAACCCGCACAGACACCAAAGGCAGCATCCTGAGCCAAGCCCCTTGGTTTCGCTTCCCTTACCCAGGTAACGAGAAGATGGGGACCCTTCTGGCCTGGGACACGTTTCTCAGGGCTGCCCGTGGGACCCAGGGCAAGAGTGTACATGCTAGCATCAGCCTTAGTTGAATTTTAAACCTAGATTGAATCATACCAGTTGAGTATACTCGACAAGTATCTTTATGCCTCAGTTAATTTTCTGTAAAATCAGGATATTAGGAATACTTAGCTCACCAAATTATTGTGAGGATTAAATGAGAATAAGTAAATGCAGTGTTAAGCACAGTGTTTGGCAAATGCCAGTGGAATTTCCATTGAGTTGTGCATCAGCAGGATGAGATGGGACTTTCTAAAATAAGGATTAGCAAATGAATAAGCTTGAATCTTCAAATTGAAGATGGCTGTTTCTACCATCATCCATCTAGTCAAATAAGCCACTATTCAGTAGTCATCCATTTGAGGCAGATTAATTCTGATGTGAAAGTCATTAAGAACTCTTTTTACTTCACAGTTCTCTATAATTTTAAAGCTAGACATTGTACACACTTTGCTGGGGGGGAAAATACATGTTTTTAAAATAATTGTGTTATTTAAAATTCAACTTTAGGTGGCATTCTACCCCAAGGTTCCCCAAGGCATCTAAAAGAGTATGTACAAAAACAACAAAGAGATACCATTTCACACCTGTCAGAACGGCTATCATCAACAAATGACAAGTGCTGAGGAGGATGCAGAGAAAAAGGAACCCTCTTGCACTGCTGGTGGGAATGCAGACTGGTGCAGCCACTGTGGAAGGCAGTATGGAGCTTCCTCAAAAAGTTAAAAATGGAACTCCCATTTGACCCAGTAATCCCACTTCTAGGAATATATCCCAAGAAACCAGAAACACTAATTAGAAAGGATATATGCATCCTATGTTCTTAGAGGCACAATTTACAACAGCTAAGATGTGGAAACAGCCTAAGAGCCCATCAGCAGATGAGTGGATTAAAAAACTGTGGACACAATGGAATACTATGCTGCTATAAAAAAGAAGGAACTTGTACCATCTGCAACAGCATGGATAGAACTGGAAAGCATTATGCTAAGAGAAATAAGCCAGTTGGAGAAAGATAAATATCACATGATCTCACTCATATGTGGAATATAATGATCAACATAATTAAAAAAAAATTTTTATTGATTTTTTACAGAGTGGAAGGGAGAGGGATAGACAGCTAGAAACATCGATGAGAGAGAAACATTGACCAGCTGCCTCCTGCACACCCCCTACCGGGGATGTGCCCTCAACCAATGTACATGCCCTTGACCGGAATCGAACCTGGGACCTTTCAGTCCGCAGACCGACGCTCTATCCACTAAGCAAAACCAGTTTTGGCGATCAACATAATTGGATGAACAAGAATTGATCCAGAGATAAATGGTAGAGGAGTGTGTGTGTGTGTGTGGGGGGGGGGGTGTTTAGAGAGCAACCAAAGGACTTGTATGCATGCATAGTAGTGTAACCAATGGTCACAGACACTGGGGCAATGGGGGCTTGCCCAGGGTAGGAATGGCTGGGGGAAAAGCAGACATATGTAAAACTTTAGACAATAAATAAATAAATAAGTAAAGGAGCACAATACATATGTCATGATAAAACACTTATAAAAATACACATTTAACACATGTTGAATGAATGAAGCTAAGGTTACCATTTTATAGTTGAAGTTTAATATTACTTAACCTGAAATATCAAAGCATTCTTAGAACCAATATTTAGCTATGAAATAATTTATTATTTATACTCCCAATAATATCAACGGAAAGTGCACCAAAATATAGACATTAAGCAAATTATTGTTTAGTTCAAACTTGACAGACCTCTTGAAAATTATTTGTATTTGTATGAAGTGAGCTGCTCAATACTCACTTGAGAATGATAATGATCCCTAGTGCTTTTGAATTCACATTTGAACGTCTAGATTCTTCAGAGGTTTATCCCCAAAGGCAAACAATAATAAAAACATGCCTTCTATATAACAATGATGATTTTGAATTTTTTGCTGTAAGAGATTGAATTCCTAATATCAACAGGTAAGATTTTGGCTTTTGTGAAGAATCTGATTTCCATATATTCTCTAAAATTGCACTCATAAGACCTGGTGGAAAAACAAGACAGATGTAATCCAGCAGTCCGCTAGCAAGTCACATTAGCTGAAATAACCCAAGTTTCTACAGTCTATTTAATGGATATAAACAAATATAACTCAGGATACCAGGCCTCCCATTTATCCACCCATAAGACCAGAAATTCACATGATCTTTCCCACTCTCTGAACTTGGCACTCAACCATAATGCTAATTAATTCACTAGTTTTGAGATGCTTTGGAGACTCACTGTTTGTAAATATTCTGTGGGAAATCTCCCTTTGTTCATTTTTTCTGAATTCTTTAGCTTACAGGCAACCAGATACTTTTGACCAAGTTGAAAATAAACAGACAAAAACTTGGAGATGGGATTCAATCTGGCCAGGAGCTGCGTGAAACTGGGTAAACTTCTGAACATTTTAGGCTGTAACTTTATTCAGCAGCTTATTATGTTGAAACTAGGTTTATTTCATTCTATTGTATAATACTCCAATTATAAAATGTTATATTAGGAAGTGATTTGATGTGTTTAAGTACATTTAAACAGTATTTAGACTGATATTTCAAACTATTTGATATAACAATATTTTAATTGTAAATGTTAAATTTACATAATAAATTTATACTAGGTGTCTTAATTTGTAATCTCAACTTGAAATTTCTTTCATATTTATCCTGAGAAGAAAACTGGAATTCTCCATTTAAAAACTATTTTTATTGATTTCAGAAAGGAAGGGATAGGGAAACAGAGATAGAAATATAAATGATAGAAAAAGAAACATTGAATTGGCTGCCTCCTTTACGCCCCACACTGGGGATTGAGCCCACAACCCGGGCATGTGCCTCGACTGGAAATCAAACCATGACCTCCTGGTTCATAGTTGATGCTCAACCACCAAGCCACACCTGCTGGGTCTGTAATTCTCCTTTTAAAAAATCTTGTTTTACTTTTAGGAACTATAAACTTTCTGATGAATGATGCATCTCACTAATATATTAGCTGTAAAAAGGGTAATTTGTTATCCATGTATTTCTGAGAGAATCAAAAGGATAATTTGTTATCCACACATTTCAGAGAGATTCAACTTCATTATGAGTATTAATGTCCATTTATAGTGTAATTACAAAAAAAAATGGACTAGCTTCAAACTGCCTGAGATTCATAACTTAATTCCACCACTTGCTATGTAAACTTGTTGAGTCATTTTATAATGTCAACTCAGTTTCTTCATTCATAAATGTAAGTCCTCAATATTCTTTCATGAAAATTAAGATAGAACTATATATCTAAAATGTTCACATTGTGCCTACCATTTAGTAAACTTGCAATAATTGTTAGCTATTACTCATCTCTTCATTGTAAGTTTATCTTTTTTGTTATGCTGTCCATTCCTATTTGCTATTCTTACTAGTCTTGTTTTTAATGTTTAATGACCATTACTATTATGCTAGTCTTGTTTTTAATGTTTAAATTCAAAGCCACTTTAAGTATATTTTGTAAAGTGATAATATAAAGAGAAAAGGACCTACATTATTTGAAGTGTATTCTCTATTGTTTCTTGTAAAAACAATTTTTAAAATATATAAGATTTACTGCATGTATTATAGCTCTGGACTCTAAAAAAAAAAAAAAAAGTCTAACCTTAGCTTGAATAATTATTTTGCTTACAATCACTCCAATGTGTACTGAAGAACATAAACCATTGAATTAACAATTCTTTAATTCAATCTTTTATCACCAGTTCATTTGGTAGCAGTTATATTATCTCATGGATTCCCTGTGGGATGGAAACCACACGGCAGTGACAGGCTTCATTCTACTGGGCTTAACTGATGACCCCATCCTCAAAGCCGTCCTCTTCATGATCATCCTGTGCATCTACCTGGTGACTGTGTCTGGCAACCTTGGCACAATCATTCTTATCAGAACCTCTCCTCAGCTCCATCATCCAATGTATTTTTTTCTGAGTCACCTGGCTTCTGCAGACATAGCTATTTCAACTTCTGTTGCACCCAATATGCTTGAAAACTTCCTGGTGCAGGGAAATCCCATCTCCTATCATGGATGCTGCACCCAGCTTGGTTCAGCTGCATTCTTTGGGACAGTGGAGTGCTTCCTTCTGGCTATCATGGCATATGATCGCTTTGTGGCAATCTGCAATCCACTGCTTTATTCAACCAAAATGACCACACAAGTCTGTGTCCAGTTCCTCATAGTGGCTTACATAGCTGGTTTTGTCAATGCTTTCTCTTTCATTATTTCCGTCTATTTCTTATTCTTCTGTGGACCAAATCGAGTGAATCATTTTTTCTGTGATTTTGCTCCTCTGGTGGAACTCTCCTGTTCTGACAGCAGAATCCCTGCCGTTGTCCCTTCATTCACATGTGGCTTCGTCATTATGTGCACAGTGTGTGTCATAATTGTCTCCTACATGTACATCCTCATCACCATCCTGAAGATGCGCTCCAAAGAGGGGCGCCAGAAGGCCTTCTCCACATGCTCATCCCACCTCACGGCAGTCACCCTGTTCTATGGGACCCTCACATTCACATATGTGATGCCCAAGTCCAGTTACTCCACCGAACAGAATAAGGTGGTGTCTGTGTTCTACACGGTGGTGATCCCCATGCTGAACCCCATCATCTACAGCCTCCGGAACAATGACATGAAGGGGGCTCTGAAGAGAGTGCTTCACAAGATAAGTATTTTCTTAGTGAAGCCTGCTATTTTATGAGCTTAGATATGATAATATACCGTAAATATAATGAAAGGAAACTGAGTGTCTGTGGTAAAAATATATTAATTCGTATGTAATGAGCCACTGTGGAGACCTTTTTATGAAAATGGGGGTTGTATTTTCTGATATGAAATAGTATCAGAGACCCACAGTCAGTTACCTCTAATAAAATTAGCCTAAATTTATATTTATGAATACAGCTTTCTTAACATAAAAGTGCTTTATATATTTAAAATCCCCTCAAGTATAACTCATTTTTCCAAATATCCTAAAATAAACTTGATAATTATAGTTATAACTGAGAACACTTGTTATTCCACTGGAGAACCCTGTGTATTTTCTTCAGAATATTCTGTGCACTTGTAATTGAATATTCATTATTTGTTTTCTCCACAATCTTGGAAGCTTCATATAGATAGCAAAAATGCCTTTCTCTCTCCCTATGCATCTATTTTCATAGAAGCATAAATTAATGAAACCACTAATAAATGAATGGATGGCTGAATGAAGGTTTTGCTGTGTCATGAACCACTTATTCTGCTGACTTTGAATCCTGGCCACTGATATGCTGAATGTTTCACTGTGATTCAAATGATTGAACATTTGTGTCACATTTTGTTACAACTGTGACAGGCCATCACACAAACTCATGCTCAGCATAATTAAGACCTTGCCTCCACAATGATTAACTGAGATTGGCAACTAGAATCCCAGCATAGTTATTAAAAGATTTGTAAACATGTTATGTTAAATAATGTCTTCTTCATATATTTGCATGGTTAGAGAGTTTGAAAATCTGGCAAACTGGTAGTCAAATGGTAATGAGGTAATAGTGGCAGCATTAAGAGTATTAGCAAGAGAAGCTAACAATGTGAGATTGTTTACTACATTCCAGGTACTGCTCTCAGAGATCTCCAGGTCAAAGCTAATTAATTATCAGAATACCACTATGAAGCTTGTATTTTAGAGAGAATGTAACTGGAACACATACAGGTTAAATAAAAACCCCAAGTCACAAATATCCTTTTAATAATTTGTCTTCTTTTAGGTTTATACTCTGTCAAGGGACAGAATGATAAACTCTTTGAGAATAAAATAAGACTCATATATATGCTGCCTACAAGAGACCGACTTCAGATTGAAAAACACACACAAAGTAAAGGGATGAAAAAAATTATTTCATGCAAATGGAAGCATAAAGAAACTGGGGTGCCAATACTTTTATCAGATAAAATAGACTTTAAAACAAAGGCTATAATAAGAAATAAAGAAGGATAATACAATAATGATATAAGGAGCAATCCAACAAGGTGATATAACCTTATAAACATTTATGTACCCAATACAGGAGCACCTATATATATTAAGCAAATTTTGACAGACCTAAGGAGAGAGATCAACAGTAAGAGACTTTAACAGCATTGGCATCATTGGGTATATCATCCACACAAGAAAATCAACAAGGAAACAGCAGTCTTAAATGACACATTAGACAGATGAATTTAACTGACATTTTTAGAACATTTCAGTCCAAAGCACAATATACATTCTTTTCCAGCACATATCGTATATTCCAGGATAGATCATATGTTAGTCTACAAAACAAGTTTCCATAAATTTAAGATTGAAATCAATGCACGCACCTTCTTGAATTATTTAATACAATGGCATAAAACTAGAAATCCACTCATAAGAAGAAACCAAAAAAATATTCACACAGGTGGAGGATAAGTAACATTGCATTAAACAATGAATGGATTAACAGTGAGATCAAGGAAGAAATAACGAAATACCTGAGACAAATGAAAATGAAACCACAATGACCCAAATACCAAGGACACTGGCAAAGCAATTCTGAGAGGGAAATTTCTAGCAATACAGGTCTGCCTCAAGAAAGAAAAATATTAAATAAACAATCTAAACTTACATCTAAAGAAACTAGAGAAACAACAAAAAACAAAGCTCAGATTGAGTGGGGGAAAAGGAAATAATAAAGATCGGAGAAAAAATTAAAAATTTGGGTCTAAAATAATAACAGAAAAAAGTTATTGGAACCAGGAGCTACTTTTCTGGAGAAGTAAAATTGATTAACTTTTAGACAGACTCTTCAACAAAAAGAGAGACAGGGTCCAAATAAATAAAATCAGATATACCCTAGAAATGATGACCAACAGATACTAGAGAAACACAAAGACTATAAAGAAATACTTTGAATAATTATGTCCCAACAAATTGGACAACCTGGAGAAAATGGAGAAAATCCTAGAAACATATAATCCTCCAAGGCTGAATCACATAGAACAATGAAATTTGAAAAGACAAATATCTACTAATAATATCAAATCAGTCATTTAAAAATTCTCAATAAAGGAAAGACAAAGAAAAGTCCTAAACCAGATGACTTCATAGATACATTTTACCAAACATCCATAGAAGCATCAATACCTATGCTTTTCAATGACTTCCAAAAATTAAAGAAGATGGATGGCTCTCAAACTCATTTTATGAAGCCAGCATTACCCTGATACCAAAATCAGATGAATACATCCTATCTAAGAAAAGAGTAATATGAAAATTGACCATCACTCCAAAACACAAGATGGCTGCCCCATGTGTTCAAAAATTGCTGCCCCAATGAGGACACAAGATGGCCAGCAGGGGAGGGCAGTTAGGAGGGACCAGGCCGGCAGAGGAGCAAAGTTGGGGGCGACCAGGACTGCAGGGGAGAGCAGTTGGGGAGGGGGTCAGGCCTGCAGGGGAGTGCAATTCGGGATGACTAGGCTGGCAGAGTAGCAGTTAGGCATCAATCATGTTGGCAGGGGAGTGGTTAGGGAGTGATCAGGCTGGTAGGCAGAAGCATTTAGGGGCAATCAGGAAGGCAGGCAGGCGAGTATTTGGGAGCCAGCAGTCCTGGATTGTGAAAGGGATGCCCAACTGCTGGTTTAGGCTCGATTCCACTTGAGAGGTCCCAGGTTGGAGAGGGTGCAGGATGGGCTGAGGGGCCCCCTCCCGCATCACGTGCATGAATTTTGTGCACCAGGCCTCTAGTAAAGATGTATTTTAATAGATGAGTTTGCAAATACTAGAGTTTGCAAATAGAGGAAGAAAACAAAAAATTGGGAAAGGACCTGGATAGACTCTTCTCCAAAGAGGTTATATAAAGTTGGCTTCAGACATAAGAAAAAATGCTCAATGTCACTAATCATCAGAGAAATGCAAATTAAAACTACAACGAGGTATCGCCTTATACTTGTCAGAATGACTACCATCCATAAATGAACAAACAAGTGTTGGTGAGGATATGGACAAAAGGGAACCCTCAAGCACTGTTGGTGGGAATGAAGGTTGCTGCAGCCTCTGTGGAAAACTGACAGACTCATTAAAGATTGCTTATGTTTGTGTGAAGTGAACTGCTCAATACTCACTTGAGAATGTGATAATGATGCCTGGTGCTTTTGAATTCACATTTGAATCTCTGGAATCTTCAGAGGTTTATCCCCAAAGGCAAACAATAATAAAAACATGCCTACTATATAACATCAGTGAGTTTAATTTATTTCTGTAAGATGAGTGAATTCCTATGTCAACAGGTAAGATTTGACTTTTGTGAGGAATCTATGATTACCATGTATTCTCTAAAGTTGCACCCACAAGGCCTGTTGGAGAAACACAGTAGATGCAATCCAGCAGTCAGCTAGCAAGTAATCCTAGCTGAATTAACCCAAGTTTCTATAGTCTACTTGCTGGGTATAAATAAATATAATTCAAGGTACCATGACTCCTCATTTATCTACCCATAAGACCAGAAATTCACAAGATCTTTCCCACTATCTAAACTTGGCACTCAACCATATGCTAATTAATCCACTGGCTTTGAGATGCTTTGGAGTGTTAATGTTTGTAAATATCCAAAATCTCCCTTTATTCATTGTTCTGAATGCTTTAGCCTACAGGCAACCAGATACTTTTGACCAAGTTGAGAATAAACAGCCAGAAAATGGGGTTCAACTTGGCCATGAGCTGGGTGAAACTTCTGAACATTTTAGGCTGTAACTTTATTCAGCTGCTTACTACTTTAAAACTAAATTTATTTCATTTTGTAATACTTAAATTATAAAACATTGTTATATTAAGAAACAATTTGATTTACTTAAACTTATACAATATTTAGGTTGATATTTTAAACTACTTGATATAATAATAGTTTAATTTTAAATATTAGGTAGATATAATATGTTTATAATAGTTATCTTCATTTGTAATCTCAATGTGAAATGTCTATTTCTTCATTGCCCTATTAAAAATTATAATTATCCTTTTAAAAAATGATCTTGTTTTATTGACAAAAACTGTAATCTTTCTTATTAACTATACATCTCTTTTACACATTAGCTATAAAAAAGGTAATTTGTTACCCACTCATTTCTGAGAGACTTAACTTCATTATGAGCAATTATTTCATTTATAGTACAGTTATAAGAGATGGACTGGCTTCAACCTGCCTGAGATTCACAACTTGATTCCACCACTTGCTATGTAAAGTTGCTGACACTTTACAATATAAAATCAGCTTCTTCATCTATAAATATAACTCATCAATATTATTTCATGAAAATTAATATAGAACTATATATCTAAAATTTTCACACTGCTTACTATATAGTAAACTTCCAAAAACAGCTATTACTCACATCTCCATTACATAATCTGATATTTATATACATTTCTTTTATACTGACAATTCCTATTTGCTATTTTCATAAGCTTATGTTTTTAGTGTTTAAATTTAAAGCCACTTTAAGTACATTTTATAAACTGATAATATAAATAGAAAAGGATCTACATTATTTGAAGTAGGTTCTTTTTATTATTATTATTATTATTATTATCATTATTGATTATGGTATCACATAATTATCCTCAGCCCCCCATTCCCATCCCAAACCCCTCCTCACGTATGCCCCCACACCCCTGTTGTTCAATGGCCCTGGTTAGCC